TCAAAAACAAATAACTGTAGATACATGAAAATTTTACTGAATATTTATATTAGCATTTCCTATACAGCATACAATTTTGAAAATATTTGACTCTTTTTGAGCTGTTAAGGGACATTTTAAGTTTTCAATTATTTTAGTGTTTTTTCCTATAAATATCAATAAAGTCTTATCGGTTGGGACAAAAAGTGTAAACATTTAATACAAGGCTCCTGATATATTGTTACAATATCAGTTGAAAAATATATAGTCACAATTTTTTTTTATAAGCATTTAAAGATCGAATTTTGACAACATTTATCAAATTTAAAATTGAATAATTATTTGTAATTAAAAATTTATAAAATGTTCAACTTTTATATCTAGGATTGAAAATTTAAAACAAGATTCCACACGTATGTAGTTAATTCTGTAACCAAAAAATCTAAAAAATTCAGTTTATTTTTATAGTCATTTTAAGTTCAAATTTGGATGAAATTACATAAAAATAACCTAGAATAACTAACTATTTTAGTTATTTCGTTGTGATTGTATAATATTATTCGTGGGTACTTGAAATTGCTAAAGTATACTATTATATATCTATGATAGTATCTGGGTTTGTTGTTGATTTATAACGCGGTATAAGTACCTAATGGATATTGTGATATGATTAATTTGGAATTTATTATAGGTACCTATAATAGGTCAATTTTTTTTAATACCTACCATAGATAAGTATATAATATGCCTTATACCTATACTGACATACCGTCTCCGCTCAGAATCGTTTTTCTTATACAATGATATTATATCATTGAATTCAAATTTAATATCATCCATTATACAGTGACCTACTTGTAACCTACTGTACAGCAGAGCACCTTTTTTATTTGCTTGCGTGTGTCTCTTCTATATAGAAAGTAAAGACCCCTTAAAGTATTTAGGTATCGATATTTTTAACCGTGAGTAATAAAAATGAGGATGTTTTTTTGGATTGATTGCTCTAGTGCTCTACTGCAGGTTAAGTTAGGTTTTAAATCTTAAAAACAATTTGCTCAGACGAAGCCACGAGAGCCCAGCGGATCCACTGTTGGATTCAGTGATCATGAAAATGTTGATTGCAAAAAATATGTATTATTTATAATACTGTAGTATGTATACTATATATGTCTACTTATACCTATATAAATATAAAACCATTTACCTATGAAAGTTTACTTGAATAATATTATGCTTATAGCTTATGGATTTGTCTTCAAAGTAAAAAATCTATAGGTAATATAAACATAATTTTTTTTTTGCTTCAGGGTAATTAATAATAATTATTTATTATTTTGCAGTTTCAAATATTTCAAAAATGTCTTAATTTATTATTAAACGAATGATTCCCCTTGTCAGGCTTCACGTTAATATTATACAGAGTGATTTTTTAAGCATATGCTCACACTATTTTTTTACAAAAATTTTACATATGTGTAATTATACAAATTCTGATTTTTAGAACTTAAATATACTTGAAGAGTTTCGAATACTTTTTTATACCATTTAAGGATGATGTTGTTACAATACAAACTTCTGTTTTTCAAATAGGACTCCTTTTTTTACTTTTATTATTCGACAGATATTTTTATTTTGAGAACTTTGATGTATATAAATCAAAATCCGAACTAGTAGTTTTTGAGTTATAGCTCGGGTTATAGGTATAACTTTGTGTACTGAGGATACTACGTATATGGATATTAGCCAAGTAGATTTGGGGGCTTAGATGATTTGAAAATGTTAGTAGTTAGTTGTTAGTACTAATTACCGTTGATCTATCAAGATATAAATAATCTGTAAAAATTATTAAGTAGGTGTACTGATAACAGTGAATAAGTAGGTACTACAACTAATATTAGGTATTTATAGTTTTTTTTTTTGTAAAACCATATTTCAACGATTATTATCCTTTATATCCATATTTTAATAATTCAGTGACTACTTATTAGAATTTTGTAATGTGAACATTTGAACCTCAAAATGTCTTTACAACGAACACCTCGTTGCCCCAGTTCAGGACTGCAACAACTCAAAATATTGGTTTGTTGGGTATATTGGGTTTTCTATATTTTTTCTCTATGTAACTTAATCTAAATTATATTATTGAGAATGCTGTCTCGTGGTCAATAATTTAACAATATTTTATTGCGTTCTTGAACTGAAATCGTCATAAGATGATGTACATAACTCGGATTTGTTAAATGTTAAGTTGTTGCAGTTTTGAACTGGGGTGTCGACCTGATCTTACCCCACTAGATTTTTTTACGGGGTCATTTAAAAACAATAGTGTATGCCGTCCCTCCTATAAATCTTCAAAATTTAAAAGATAAAATAACAGGACCATGCAATAAACTGACTGGAGAACAAATAACAGCTGTAACAAGTAAAGAATTTATGCAGCGTGCTGAATCATGTTTTGTTCACGGCGGACAACAATTTTAACAATTTATACGTTAAATTAACTAACAACTAAATAGGGGTGAAACTGTTAAGCCTAAACAATCCTAGAATAATTATGTTCAGAGTTGCAGTAAAAATCTGAAAATTTCCCGCATTTTGCAGTATTTTTGTTGATTGGGTGTAACTAGTCAATTTTGGACTTAAAAAGTTGATTATACTACCAAAATGCATTAATAAATTAGGCAAAAAATAATTTTTAGTTAAAATAGCTCGTTTCCATTTAAGAAAAAAAAGTTGTACTGCCCATGTGCAAGTCTAATTAAGTTGAAAAAATTCAAAGACTATAAAATAGTGTATTTTTATGTCATAAGAACCAACAAGAAAGCAAAATTTGAATTGCATGGCTCTATTATTTTTTTTAAATCCTATAGACTTAATTTAGACTAATTAGGCTTGATCGAGGGCTTGATTTTTGTTTTCACAATTTTCAAATTGAAATAACTAAACTTAACTTAAGTATTAATGTAGTTAATACTTAAGTATAGTAAAAAAAATATTCCACTGTCCTATAAACCGATGGTTGATCTTGGACGATTTCTAAGTTGATCCCCTTTGTTAGAATTTATTAATTATTGTTATGTACGTTTATCATTTAGTAGATACAGTTATTAAATACATATTTCGGATTAACCTGTTAGTGTAAAATGTAATTTTCCCATATGAAAGTTATAATAGCTGAATAGGTACCGAGCTACACTTTCTGATGGTCATTTAGATCAGCGTCTACATTTAGCACTTTTCGACTATTACCAAGATCATATTGGCCATGATATGCAACAAAACACTTGTACATCAATAACAAAAATATTTTGAACATTTTAAAATCTGGTAATGTATGTCAGTGTGTGTTTGTGTGTCCATATTACCATGGTTACTAATTACCAATGTTACCATAGTTACCAAAGGTACCATGGTTACCTTGAGTGTTGTAGCTATTATAATCATAATTATAGGTCTTTAATGGGCAACAAAGTGCATGGGATCAGATATTTTATATATATAGTCCGTGTGTGTCCACATTACCATGGCAACCTTTTATATTTTATTTTGTAACTTCCGATGGAAAGTTTTGTATATAAATGGTTGCCATGGTGATATGTAAAACATATTATTCATATATAGTTAGCAATTTTAATGGGCAATTAAGTGCATAGGATCAGATATTTATATATATATAGATTAGACATCTGTGCAGAAGATATGCTAATTTGAAAAGGGAGAGGACCAACCCGGGGAGGTGCTCAAACAGGGATTTTGAGATTTCGGAGGAAATTTTTGTTTATAAAATTGAAGGGTCGGTGCAACAACCAGATAACTTCATTTGAATGGTTTCCATGGGTTTTGAAGCTATTATAATAATAATTGGTTTAAAATTGTTGTTATGGTTACCGTTAATATAAAATAAAACATTTTATTCATATAGAGTTGGTATTTTTATCTACACAATATCTATGATGTATATACAAATTAATGTTTGTCTGTCTGTATGTGTGTGTGTGTGTGTCCTTTAAGCATTCCTAAACAGCTGGACCGGTGTTGATGAAATTTTGTACAGAGATAGATTAGCCCTCTGGGCAGAAGATAGGCTAATTTTAAAAGGGAGGGGACCAGCTCCGGGAGGTGCTATAACAGGGATTTTGAGATTTCCGATGGAAATTTTTGTTTATAAATGGTTGCCGAAATATGTATTTAATAACTGTATCTACTAAATGATAAACGTACATAACAATAATTAATAAATTCTAACAAAGGGGATCAACTTAGAAATCGTCCAAGATCAACCATCGGTTTATAGGACAGTGGAATATTTTTTTTCTATAACTACATTAATACTTAAGTTAAGTTTAGTTATTTCAATTTGAAAATTGTGAAAACAAAAATCAAGCCTAATTAGTCTAAATTAAGTCTATAGGATTTAAAAAAAATAATAGAGCCATGCAATTCAAATTTTGCTTTCTTGTTGGTTCCTATGACATAAAAATACACTAGCAGTGTATCAAGCAGTGGCGGATACGAGGGGGGGGGGGGGGGGTGATGGTGCGTCCCCCCCCTTGGGATGCCTTTTTAACGTCATTTTCTATTATAATATTTGGCTAAACAAAAAGACAATTTAATTTTTGAAAATTTTATAATAACTCGTTTAATAATATAATAATACACCTCATTGCTTCGTTGGAACGTTGTACGGTTAGCAGAAAATGGGAATATTTTAAATACAGGGATGTAATAGTACATCTGGAGCAGTAAAAGGGTTAAATAGGCAATAGCTTAAATGAATCTAAATATTTTGAAAATGTCATTGCATACCTACAATAAAATTTAATAATACCTACTAACCAATTTCAAGTTCCTAAAATAGTTATAAATAGTTATTCTTTGTTTAAATATTAAATTTCTCCAAAAATGTGAACCTCAAATACCTTTAAAAATAAATTGTAATTTTATTTGTTTTAACTGCAAAAACATTGCTCATTTTCTTGTTTTGACAATTGTTGTATACATAATTATATTTTTGTTTTTAGTTTGGCCGTCCTGTGCCTGAAAAATCTGTTGCATCTACTTCATCGCTGATGTTAAGAAATAATGGAGAATCAACTCATTCCATGCCTGGAACATCTGAAGCATCTACTTCAACAGTGATGTTAAGAAGTAATGAAGTATCATCTCAGGAAGCTCCGTTCAAAAATTCTCGAGTGCCATCAATTAAGTTTCGTGATTCCATGCCTGGAACATCTAAAGCATCCACTTCAATAGTGATGTTGAAAAATAATGAAGTATCATCTCAGGAACCTCCATTCAAACATTCTCGAGTGCCATCACAAAAATCAAATAAGTTTAGTGATTCCATGCCTGGAACATCTAAAGCATCTACTTCATCACTTATGTTAATAAATAATGATGAACCATCTCATGAAACTCCACTCATAAGTTATCGATCAATATCAAAACGATCAAATGAGTTTGGTGATTCCATGCCTGGAACACCTAAAGCATCTACTTCATCGATGATGTTAAGGAAGAAAAAAGTATCATTTCATGAACCTCCGTTCAAACATTCCCAATTACTATTAGAACAATCAAATATGTTTGGTGATTCCATCCCTGGAACATCTAAAGCATCTACTTCATCACTGATGTTGAGAAATAATGGACTATCATCTCAGAAACCTCCGTTCAAAAATTCTCAATTATCATTAAAACAATCCAGTAAGTTTGGTGATTCCATGCCTGGAACATCTAAAGCATCTACTTCATCACTTATGTTGAGCAATAATGAAGAATCCTATCATGAAACTCCACTCAAAAGTTATCGATCAATATCAAAACAATCAAATAAAATTCCTCGAAAATCTATGAAACCTTCTGCTGAAACTTCGGTCAAACCTTCTCATACATTTTCGTTCAAACGTTCTAAATCAATATCAAATCCAAATATTAATAACGTAAAACAAGAAGGTGATGATCGTTCAAGGCAAGGTTGCAGGTTACTTTCTATAAAAATAGAAATTAGTGATGAATCGGATGATGATTCTTGCATAATAACAACACCTCCAATTGATACTGTCGTATTAATTTCAGATGATGAAATCGACGACAATGATAATATTGAAAATGTAAATTTATCTGACTACGAAGAAACAGTTGAATTATCCCAGGATGAAGTAATAGTTGAATTATCCCAGGATGAAGTAATAGTTGAATTATCATCAGATAGTGAGGACAATGAAAATAATATAAAAAAAGAATATGTTAATAAAGTGACTGAAAAATTATACTACTGTTCAATTTGTCAAAAGAAGAACATTCTCAATCATGATTGTTCTCAACATACTAAATCATTTTTTACTTGCTTGGTACCTGGCTGTAACATGTTATCAAGATCAAAAAAAGATTTTACATTCCATTATCAACCGCATATTGGTATGTCTTCATCAGGAGTTATGTGTCATCGTTGTTTTAAAGGAATAGATCAATCTAACATCGATGGCAATGGTTGTCACATATACTGTGATATTGAAAATGCATTTAGATGTTATTTATGCAATATTAGATTTAAAAGTATACAAGAATTTGCTTATCATAAATTAAAAACACACAATGGCATTTTGATGGACGCACATTATAATTATTTATGTTTACATTGTGAAGAATCTTCTCCAGATATTGAGGAAATTAATGATCATATGGACCATTGTCTTGAAAATCAGGCAAAAAATGAAACTGCAGCCAGCATGAAACCAAAAAAAGAAACAGAATTATTACCTGTTAAGGTAAAGAAGGAGAACGTAATGGTACGTACAAATGGAAACAATAACATGATTCCGCGTACATCACAACATGTACTTTTTACTTGTTTAAAACCTTCTTGCAATTTAATCTTCCTATCCTTTAGTAATTTTAAAAATCATCATCGTCATCATTTTGACCTTGGAAATGCCTTGGTATGTTGGCAATGTTGTAAGCCATGTTCTGATTTACCTGCTCTTAGAGCACATCAAATGAAAAATAACTGTCGTACCCCTGGCATGTACAAATGTTATAGTTGTTCTTCAAAATTCGATGATCTTGAAAGTTTGAGTATTCATAAATTAACCTTCCATGATAGTAAATTAGTTGCCGCTAAAAAAAATAGAAAAACTCTTATGTGTTCCTTTTGTCAAATGGATATTAATATTTTCAACTTTAAATCTCATTTGGTCGCATGTCAAAAGAAGGATGTCAAAAAAAAAACTTTTACTAGAAAGAATAAAGGCGAATATACTTGTATGACTTGTAAAAAAGTGTTTGGGTCATCAATATCCTTATCAAATCATTCGAGGATTCACAAACGATCTCAAATTTTAAATTTGAAACAAGAAAGTACATAATGGAAGAACTCAAGAAGATTTTGAATTTTTCCAACTCAAAATAAACTTAAAATCAAGAAACTGATGGATTGTTTATGTTAAAAAATTGATCATCAGTGGCAGAACACCGCATAATATAGACTTACATACTATTATTACACCAGAGTTAAATTATTTGTTCTATTTTATGTTTTGTTTTATATTTGTATAAAGTACAAACTCTTTTTATTTTTATTTTTTATTTATAATGTATATTTTAATAATTTTAATTTAATATAATACTTAGTAATATAATATAATTAGTCTGCAATGAAATTGTGTTAAAATAAGAATATTAGATATTTTCTAAATATGTTAGTTACTGTCAATAACATCCAGACATTATTAAAAATAGTATTTAAAAGAAAGTACATAATGTAAGAACTCAAGAAGATTTTGAATTTGTCCAATTTAACTTAAAATCAAGAAACTGATTAAAGTACTAACTCATTTTTAATTTTTTTTTTATTTATAATGTATATTTTAATAATTTTAATTTAGTATAAAACTTATTTTAACAATAGATTATAATGGATTTCATATATTTTTGAAGTTTTCAATTAGACTGCAATGAAATTGTGTTAAAATAAGGATATTCGATATTTTCTAAATATGTAAGTTACTGTCAATAACATCCAGACATTATTAAAAATAGTATTTAAAAGAAAGTACATAATGTAAGAACTCAAGAAGATTTTGAATTTGTCCAATTTAACTTAAAATCAAGAAACTGATTAAAGTACTAACTCATTTTTAATTTTTTTTTTATTTATAATGTATATTTTAATAATTTTAATTTAGTATAAAACTTATTTTAACAATAGATTATAATGGATTTCATATATTTTTGAAGTTTTCAATTAGACTGCAATGAAATTGTGTTAAAATAAGGATATTCGATATTTTCTAAATATGTAAGTTACTGTCAATAACATCCAGACATTATTAAAAATAGTATTTAAAAGAAAGTACATAATGTAAGAACTCAAGAAGATTTTGAATTTGTCCAATTTAACTTAAAATCAAGAAACTGATGGATTGTTTATGTTAAAAAATTGATCATCAGTGGCAGAACACCGCATATTATAGACTTGCTTACTATTATTACACCAGAGTTAAATTATTTGTTCTATTTTATGTTTTGTTATATATTTGTATAAAGAACTAACTCATTTTTAATTTTTTTTTTATTTATAATGTATATTTTAATAATTTTAATTTAGTATAAAACTTATTTTAACAATAGATTATAATGGATTTCATATATTTTTTGAAGTTTTCAATTAGTCTGCAATGAAATTTTGTTAAAATAAGGATATTAGATATTTTTTAAATATATTAGTTACTGTCAATAATATTACTAAAAATATCTAGTATATTTAACTCCTTTTAGCTTTTAATAATATTGATATTATCAGCTAATCGTTTTAGTAATTGCCTAACTTAAGCAGACAATATCACAAATAACTAAAAATTATTTTTTTTGTAATTCTTTATCATTAAGACCATGTATCAAAAAAATATTACAAAGGCTTAGTTTTAAGTACCTAAATTTAAAAAAAAAAATTGTACATTATAATATTATTACTATTTATTAATTAATAATAATTAATATATGTTAGAAATGTAGGTATTACTGTAATTTTGGAAGTAATATAATTAGTATTATATTATAATTTATTTGCATGTCATTTATCATTTCACAATAAACTGCAGTGGTATTTTTAAGATCAAATTTGTGTAGCTGAACAACAGGTAAATTTATTAGATTTGCAGATTTTGTAGTGGTATATTTGGAATCCTGTGTCCAGTTCCTTCACGAAGAGTGATTTTTTTTATTTTTTTTACGATTTCCAATGTAAACAAATTTTTCTTTGCTAGCAAAAGTTTTAATCCTAGTATACAAATATTTCAGAACATGTGAAAACCATTCACTGTACCTAAAATAATATTTAAAAATTTTTTTTATGTGTATACTTTAAATATTTAAATTCTAAATTTGTTTCATAATGTATTTTGTTTGATGTTCCAAGCATATTGCTAATAAATGTCTTTCATTTAATATTTTTTCTAATCTGTAGTTAACTAAAATTTAACAATATTAGTACTTATTTTTAATAATAATTGATTTTGAAAAGGTAACAAGAAAAATTTAGTTTGGGTTAGGTTAGCTTCAAACATACAATATTTAATATATTTAACTCTTGAAGTTAAAAATAAGTTAATCAATGCTATTTTAATTATTACTAATTACATATTATACAGTGCAATATTATCTGTATATATAAAACAGTAAGCTGATTGAATATTATACAGTGCAATATTATCTGTATATATAAAACAGTAAGCTGATTGACTGCTATCAACGCACAGCTCAAACCATTGGACAGATCTGACTGAAATTTGGCATACAGATAGCTATTATGATGTAGACGTGCGTTAAGAAAGGATTTGCCACAATTCGCATTTTAAATAGGTGCTGAAACAGGGACATTGAGATTCACGATAGAAATTGGAAATTTTATTTTTATTTATTTATAGTTGCCATTGGTTACAGTCTACATTAGAAATTAGCATTTATTTATTGGTTGCCATTGGTTATTCGGGCAGATCAGGTACAAGCTTGCATCAAATCGAATTATTGAACATTGCCTACCAGGGTGGCTGAGTTGCACTTACCGCAGCAAGTTACACCCAAAAGGAGTTCAACAATCATAATTTTTTTAAGAGTCGATTTTTTACGAGCAACCAAATTTGTTATATTAATCCACAGTATTATATCAAAATAAACTTGGTAGAACTTTGATACTTTAGAGTTAAATCATACACTTCCGTACAAACAGCACGGGGTCCGCGATCTACCCCAGGTAGATTGCTTACCTGATAATGTACTGCTGCGATTCAGAATTTTCTATTCCGGGCAACGGAAAAGATATGATAAATTTTGAACACCATACACCGAATATTGAATAATGAATTGAACAAAGTTTGAGTCATATTGAGTTGATACATTTAACGGGCGACGAAGTGCCCGGGATCATGAAATATAAATTTGTTTATAAAATAATGACTAAACATTTCTGCAATTAACTCTTATGATAACTAAATTATTAAATCAAGGTACTATTATTTATTTATTTGTGCTTCAAATAAATTTATAAAGTTTGTGATTAGATAAAAAAAAAAAAAATTATATCAAATTCAGTTATATATAATATGGACAAGAATATGCAACCCTGTTATGGATGCAATGATAGGCCAGTGGCATTTGATGTTCAACCAACAATTGCAGGAGGAATTGAAAATGGTGACAGTCAATGGATTCATTAAAAGATAGAGAATATATTGGCTAAAATTTGTAATACGCTGCAATTTGGATTCAGTAATTAGGTTAGCACTGGACTGGAAGCCAGAAAGAAAAAAAATCACAGTGTCACCTCAGAAGAGATTGATTGATGTTGTGGAAAAAGATTTGCAAGACATGGTAGTGCTGAAATGGAAGGATATAGTGCAGAATCGAAGCAAGTGTAATGATTCGGCTCTGGTGGACAAAACACTTGGAGAGTATTAAAAGCCAAGAAGACAATATAAAATAATTATGTTTACACATGTTTTTAAAAATGAATTTCTTAACCGGTGCCAGACACCTAATTTTTGCCACCTTTAAGATCTTTTATATCACTAATTATAGAAATAAAATAACTAACCAAGGTTTACTTAAATTAACTAATTTCTTTTCACAATAGTTGACTGAGTGATAGAAGTATAAAAAATCATAATTAATATTGCAAGTCAGTTTTGATGAATATTTTTTCTTAAACAATAGTTATACAAATAACCTTAGGTACATGAAATTTTGACTGAATGTTTATATTATCATTTTCAAAATGTTTTGATTTATTTTTAACATTTTTTTTTATAAAAATATCAATTAAATTTTATTTGTTGGTTAAAAAAGCTTGAAAATTTAATACAATGCTCCTACTTTATTATTACCATGGCATTTGAAAAATATTAAAAATCCTTAGTCACAGTTTTTTTTATAAGCATTTAAAGTTCAAAAAATGACAAAATATGGAAAAATCACGAAAATTAGCAAATTATTTAGAGTTAAGAATTCGTAAAAATTTTTCTTTTTAAATCAAGATTTGAGAATGTAATACAAGATTCCTTATAAGATTATCTACCTATATCAAAAAAAGCGGGTAAGTGGATGTCGCTCTGCTGCACAGTAGGTTACAAGTTGGTAATGGGTTGTTTCAAATTTGAATTCAATGATATCATATCATTGTATACGAAAATGTGAGTGCCTTTGTACTCACGAATGATATTTAAACATCTTAGCTGTAGTACGACTTTGATTGGGGAATAAAATGTCGTGGTTTGAGTGGGAATTTCTATAATACATATTATACGATACAAACACGGTTTCGCGCATCGCGCGTATACGTAAACGAGAATAATAAATAATATTAATAATAATAATGAATCGGCCGACGACTGTACCAGAGCGCGTTCGCACCTACCAGACTCGTGAAAATAACAAAGAAAATAATAGATAAGCAACTCGCCTGGTTTATTGGTTCTGCGATTTTGCGATTTTTTTCGTATTACGCCCGTCGTGCATGGGTGCCGTGAGGGGGGTGCAAGGGGGTGCATTTGCACCCCCTTGGCTTGACAAAAAAAAAAAAAAAAAAATTAAAAAATTAAATTAAAAAAATTGAATGGTATTAAAACTATTTTATTTTGCATAATTATCTACATTATTTCTATTATTTATTATTATACATTTATACTTATTTTACAATATTGTCTATATAATATATTATTTGAAATTGAATGGTATTCAACGGCGTCGTGTATAGCTGCTCCGATTTAAACCAATACGTTTTTAATTCGACGGAAAACGATGAGGAATACTCCATGTATAGCCCCAGCCGTGTATAGCTGCTCCGATTTAAACCAAAACGTTTTTAATTCGA